GGGTGACGTCGGCTTTTAAAGATGGATCAGGAAGGTACCAGAGAGTAATAGAAATATTCACACATCGAAGTAGTGAAATAATTATGGGCGCTTTGTTGAGTTACGTTACAAAGTCTATTTTTGTTCCTTCGTATTTGGCCCCTTCGTTCGCAGCGGAATCAGTCGTCAATAAGCAACCGACAACACTCCGAGGTTTAAAATTAAAGTTGACATAATATCTGATTGCGTATAAATAATGACTCCACATTATTATTATACTAATACTCAGTCATTAGTTATCCAGACTTGTTCTTTTTATTTAACTAGTTTCTTTAACATGATAACAATAATTAATCTGGCTTAGTAACAGGGATCGGAGGGACTATTTGGATAACCTGTTAAAACATGTTATTTCCTCTTATCATAAATATGAAAAACTAGCTAATTAATTCACACATGGCTTAAAAAACCAGTTGATTTAAAAACTTACAAAAATAGGTATTTTGATTTTTATAAAATATCTCTTTTCTAATTATTTATATTAAAAACTCTTCCTATTAATCGTACAATGGAATATAAATATAATTCACAAATAAAATTGAAATATTATATTTAGCATCAACACAACCTTTTAATTAGCTTCTACCCTAGAAAAAGAGTACATTATTTATTGAAGATGTCTTGTGCTCTCCCCAATTAATTTGACCACGTGTTTTTTTTTTTTTTGGGTAATGGGAAGTATGGTGTGCTAGTGCTACTGTGCGTATTTGGCAGTTTTTTTTTTTTTTAATTACTGCGTATTACCAAATCATGCAGTATGTGGGGTCTGAAAAGTTATAAATATGAACATTGGAGCTGGTCATGTGCGACCTGATCTAATAAGACCCAAAAAAGGTGAAAAATATAATAATTTAATTATCGCAAGCTCTTGTCTTTTTGAGGCGTGTGTGAACCGTTCATGTAAGCACAAATAAATAAATAATGAAGTAATCAAGTGATTGCGTAGTGCTAATGGCAAAGATATATACGGGATGGGCGAACAGTCATTTCATGAGAGCGAGGGTTTCACCGTCCCCTGTCAAATAATACCACTATTCCTTATTCTTTATTCTTAAATTGATGATAAGACGAATCTCCCCTAATTAAAACTAAATCTACAATGGTGCTTTGAATAGCAAAATATTGCATTTACCCTGTAACCACTAAACTCCGAATTAACTAACATTCAACAGATAATTTATTACCATAGGAACGTCGAAATTTTTTTTTTGGGGAAAAAAATGACATAAAAAGGATAAAAGTACATATAGTATTCACTTACTTTCTTCTCCTTATTAAATCATTCTTCTCACATGTTATTTTTTTTTTAAAATCCTAGAAAATTCAAACTCGTGAAAATCCCGACCTAGAATTAATATTTATGTATTAATTCCATTTTGGTAAGAACAATAAGGGAATGCATGAACAATTTTTTGTTTTGCCTATTTTTATTTGCTATGTATCTGCATTTTTTATTAGAGACAGTCTTATTTAAAATATTATTTGACACTAAATGTAGACGTCTCCCTTTGAGATTCCGATTTTGCCCCGGTATCCTCCTAAGAAGAACAAAGGTCAGGTTAAAAAAATAGGTGGAAGGCGATCGAACGTGAGGTGTGTCTATGGGTTGTTTGTTGGTTCCTTTGCGTCCGGCCAATCCGTCGAATACCTGTTTCATAACTAACGACGATAACAGAAAACAAACCTGTGCAAACAGGATCTAACAACCAAATCAAATAAGCCATTAGTCTCTTCTGGTTACTTTTCTCAAAACTTATTTCTGCTTGTTCGTCATTTTAAAATTTGAAGACAATAGATGATATCGAATAAAGTAATAAAATGTTCACAAAAAAAGAAAGAATAAATCAATAAAATATTTAAAATATTAGTCTATAAAAGTTGAAAATTTCTAAGATGCCGTGTTTATTTTATTTTTAAGCTGCATGTTAAAGCTTTACACTGATGAGCAGGGTCCATTTTGCTACTAGCTATACAGGGCGATTGAACTTGTAAATGGCGTGTTTGGTCGAAAAGGTTTGGAAAGATGATGAAATATTGCGTTCCCATCTTTTATTGGGCTTCTTTTTTTTGACAAAAACAAAACAAAAAAGAGGGAGGAAGCGTCTTCAGAAGCGGGGAAAACAAAGAAAAAAAACCATAATTTTAGTTGCCCCTGATAAAATCGCCTAAATTGAACCAAACATTGTGTAAGAAAAATTAAGACTGCACAAATTGAAACTGCACGGGACCTGCGCATTGTATGATCTCTATAAGTTGTATTGTTGATCATTTATAAATAGCGAAACTTCTTATCGACAATCATGTTCCTGTGCATGCCCCTAACTCTTGGTAAAACATACATTCTAAAAAGGTTTTTTTGGTTTAATTTTAAATAGAAGATCAATACACAGTTTGATCCCTTAAATTTGTTTTTATTTTAATTTTGATCCTTTAAATTTAAATTATAATTTTTTATTTCTCTGGTTTCATTCCATTTAAAACATATGGTTCCTATAATGTAATAAAAACCTATACAATTTTGGGTCATGAGGGGCTAAAATTTATAGTTTGAAATTTGAATGACTAAAATAAAAATAGGAGCAATCCTGAGCTATTAATCCTTATTTATATATGTGTGTGTATATATTTGAGTAGAAACCCTGTAGATATGTTGACGAAGAGAGTAAGAGGGGCGAGAATAGTGGGGACAAGTTTGGGGACCGCGCATGAACTTAATATAACGGGGCGAATATTTTATTCCCTAATGATCATGGTATATAATATTATCCCAAGGGTGATGCGTACATTGAAACGGCTCAGGCCTGGCCATATATACTACGCCCTCGGTCGCTTACTATAGACAATATAGGACTCCATACAGAGATCAAAAAATTAGTTAAAAATAATAAATAAATAAAAATTAGAAAATTTTTTTTTCATAATATCCTTATCTATAAGGGGAAGAAAGTATAAAAAGAAAATAAAAATTATTATAATAAAAAGAATTATGAAAGAGAGAGAATGTGTGATAGAGAGAGATAATGGTTTGAAAAATGAAACCATAAATATATTAAATATTAAAATAAATAATTAATATGAACAAAATAAAAATTTTGTTACAAAAATTTAAAATAATTTGTAAATATTATTTATATTTAAAAATAAGAAAGAGATAACAGTTGTTACTTATAAAAGTCAGGGGCTAATGAATCAGTACTGGAAAGCGGAGAGAAGACCCTCCCCAAGCCGAGAGAAAATGAGAGGAGGGGTTAAACAGTCAAGGTGGGGGGCCCACCATGGGGCGACGCGGTCAAAAAAGCGATGCATGTGCGACAACAAGACTCAATGCTCTCTCGGAAGTCATGGCTCCCACAGTTGGCCTCGATCACTGTGTCCTAACGTCTCCCCAGAATTTCAAAACGGTCGCCCGCATCAGTGTCTCTGCACAGTCTCTGATGATGGTTCGAGGCTCCAAGCAAGCCCTCACTGCAAGTAACCAACCACCTCCAACAAGGCAAAGACGAGGGAGAGGGAGAGGGATCCAAATAGAAGAGCAACCTCTCCTTCCTTGTTGGTGAAGGCTGCGCCTTTCTGTCAACTTAATTTTTGGCCGGCATATTCTCCTTCACCCTCTCAAAAGCTAAGTTCACAACAAACATACACATCCAAGTTTGGTCAAGCAAGAGAAATTCACTCGTTTAAAGTGGGCCCTTCCTTCCCGTTACCCTACCAAATACTTCAAACTAAAAGACTAATGGAGATTGGTTGCAGTGTTGCACTTCACATGTTGCAGACGAAAAGAATATGAACGCTCCATTAAACATGTGCATGAGAAAACTGCATTTTCCTTTGCTATGAGTTATCCTTTATACACCAAGCAACGTTCCCAGCTTCATTAAAAATGTCACCTTTTATTTTATTTGTCATAAAAAATCAGAACATCTTTTCAATGAAGTTTGTTAATGACAATAGTCAACGAGGCTTTTGTTTTGGTTGCACGTAAATATCGTAGTGAAGATTTGAATATTAATTTGTCAAGTTTAAGGGATTAGCTTTTTCGGTTATATCTAACCCTGTTAGTTTAGCAAGGCTTTTAAAAACGATGCGAAGGAGCATGGTATACAGAAGATTTTGGAGACAATGCAAATTATAACGACCAACGCCACACCCCACATCCTCACTTGTTACGCCACCCGACTTGGCTCGTGGCATTGCAATCCTCCCTTGTTGTAGTTTGGAATCTGTATGCATAGCCGAGGGTTGTTTTGGTGGGTGTATGAGCATTGATTGCGTATCATAATTGGACTCCGATCCTTATTCAAACGGAAGCCCATACAACGAAAAAGGGCTCTGGATGCGCTTTCCACAATCACTGAAATCACTTAAAGGGCTTTATATATTTTACTTTTAGTGTTTCTGAATGTTAGTATTGCTCCTTATTAATTGCTGCAAAATTCAATGTCTTGGTTGCGTTAGTACCATTTAAAAAGAGTAATTCACAGCTTTTTTTATCTGGATGTGCAAGATTGAGCGTGAGAAAAAATAGGTGCAGAAATTTACCAAAGCGTAGGAAATGATTAATTTTCTAATTCACTTGTGGACTGTATAATATATTTTTTTATTTGTTAGTATGCATGTAGGGAATTGTTTTGCTTTTAATTTAAAAAAAAAAAACACCCAGGCTAATTACTTGTGTATCACGGCTCATCCAAACAAAGGACTCGCTGCAGAAAGGTTAGACGCTTGTTAACTCGGCGTTCTACATCTATAATGGGGGAGGCTTGATTTTTAATATATCAAATACGGATAAATGTAAATGGGGAAAAATAATATGAAGGGAATTTTGTATTATTCATAAAAAAAATAATAATGAAACACAATAATAAACTTACACCCGGAAATATTAATAAAGAATCAGTAATGTGCTTCGCAACAAAGGGTTTTACAGCACTTATTGCTTTGAAAGCGGAAAATACATGAATGTATAGTACAAGTACAAGAACAATGTAAGGAATACGGGAAATCAATAATGAGATTTATTAATATTTGTAGCTTGGGACGTAAAATTGTATTTCTCGATTGTTAAGAGGCTGCAATGGCCTTGCGTTCCTCTTCGCGTACTGTCACAGAACACACGCAGGACGTAATCAGTACATGATTGTTATAGTGTCAAATAACTACTAGTCAGTAACTTAATGCAATACGTAGCATATGTGTATATACTTACATATTGGACTGAATTGACGAGTAAATTTAGTTGCTCTCTCGAAAAAGTCCCGATCTGATCATGGGGAGACAAGCAATTTCAAGTGGTGAGACTAAGAGACGATGGATAGCAATATATGATGAAGAGAAGGATAATATATGCATAGAAATAAATGGGAACAATTGATAGGATATGAATAGAAATACCTTGTTAGAAATAGTCCAAATGACACCTTCAGTGCAAGGAGGGGCGGTGAGTGATCCAATGTATCTGTAGTACAAGTGGTCTCGACCCACTTCTATCTCTGACGGATCAATCACCCCCAAGGATTTCTCTTCTCCTTCTTCTCCGATCGCCTTTATGTATTCTTCCAACTACAATATTCATTTGCATTTCAACACGATCGTAAGATATACATATATACTGACATATTGACACGTTATATTGGTACTCATGTATATTATATACCTTGGATAGAAAAGGATCGGGACGACCAAGCTTGTAGAGAACAGTAACCACAGCGGTCTTGTTTGTGCCGTCTGGCTGTGTGAACTGATGAACCATGTGCAGCTCCAAGTCAAACCTAATCATTGGAAAATCCACATTGGAAATTAATCAGTTAAAAAGCAAAACAGAAGTTAGGTAATTATTAGGTTGAATTAAGAACATGTGTGAGAGAGAGAGAGAGAGAGAGAGAGAGAGAGAGAGAGAGAGAGAAGGGGAGCCTACCTCTTGCCGTTGATGAGGTGTTCGGAAGGCCAGTGCCAATGGGCTCCTTGGAGAAAGAAATGGGTCCCATTGATTGCTATTGAACCGGCATCAGCCTCCCAATTCACCTGCAATTTCCCGAATAGCAATATAATTATTAGATGCTCGTGTATAGGTTTCCATGCAATGCGTGCGCGTTGGTATATGTGTGTGTGTGTGTGTTTGAGAAAATTAAAGTGAGTGTAATAAATAGAGTTTGGATTTGTGATGAATGTGTTTACCGTTACATCATGGCCCCTGTTGAGGATTGAAGCAGCGGCAGGCTTATAGGCCTTGTTGAGGCCCTCTGAGCCGGCGGACACCACTTTCACTCTGCGACTCAACAAATCAATAGGAGACTGAATTGTTCCGTGCTTACAGGCTGCCCATTCTGGTTTCAAATCTCCCCATCGTGATGGCCCCTTCGCGCTCCCTTCTATGTAACCGAACTCTGTTCCATCATTTACATAAACTCTTATTACAAACATTATCCAGGCATGCATATATGCACGGACGACGTAATTGGAGCTTATTAGCCTAAGAATTGCGAAGATCAAAGGGAGATTTAATGGTGTGTGTATATATATATATATATGCATGATCATTAATTACCAACTTCATGATCAACTTTGGTTGACGTTGAGTATTGTAACATGATTGTTGCTAATATCAGCAGACATGGGATGAACGTCCTCGTTTGTCGCTTCATGGTTCGGCACAAAGGGATTGTGTCTTGCAGAACAGATTTTAATGAAAGTGTTTCAGATGTCAGGAACTGTATGAAATTCTCAGATGTGATGGTGCGACAGATTCTGTATGGCGGAAGGGTATTTATAGAGAGCCAAGGCACGTGATGAAGTGGCCTTGGATTTGGTCGGAGTGAATGAACAGAGGGAAACTTTCTACGAAGAAAATTTCTAGTGTTTTACTTAAATTTTGTCTCCTTTTTAAAAATATTTAGTGCCGCCGTTTTCCATTTTTACGGTGCAAGTGTGAATCTGGTTAAAAGACAGGGTCTGACAGAGGCCGCCTCTAGTTATCTGTCGACGTCAGCAAGCAATATATATATATATATGTAAATATTTATGTATAAGAGATTTGATTTCAGCATGTGGTTAGATTAATTAAGGAGACTATATGTGATGACTTGGTATGATTAATTGAAAGGATCAGAGGAGGTTATGTTGCCTTTGGACTGATTTGAACAATTCCAGAAGAAGACGACGAATAGTGATTTAATTATTAAAAGAAACATCGGATGGCCGTTGAGGCGATTATTTTAGGGAAAATCACTAACAGGTCCCACAGAAGGCAATTTATTACTCTGAGGTTCCACGAAATATCAAAATCACTGACAGGTCTCAAGGGACCTCAGAGTAATATTTTCGTTTTGTAAAATGACATTACTGCCCCTCATATTCCAGATTCACATTTGCTCTGTCATTACGATTTACAACCTCAGCAGCGACTATTAACAACCTAATGAGATGGCGTTAACAACCCTAGCAGTATCCGTTAACAACTTACTTTATAGAATTATATAACCTCTACATAAGAGTAAATTATAACCAAATAATATAATACAACAACTTTAACACTAAAATGGGAAGCTTTTTGATATCATTAAGAATTTTAACTAGATCCAATAGGATTATAGTAATATTTTAATGCGAATATCCATTTACAATCTCAACAGCGATTATTAACAACCGAATGAGAGGGCATTAACAACCTAAGCAGTAGCCGTTAACAACTTACTTTATAGAATTATATAACCTCTGCATAAGAGTAAATTATAACAAAATAGTATAATACAACAACTTTAACACTAAAATGGGAAGTTTTTTGATATCATTAAGAATTTTAACTAAATCCAATAGGATTATAGTAATATTTTAATACGAAGATCCATTTACAACCTCAATAGCAACTATTAACAACTGAATGAGAAGACATTAACAACCTAAGCAGTATCCGTTAACAACTTACTTTATAGAATTATATAACCTCCGCGTAAGAGTAAATTATAACCAAATAGTATAATACAACAACTTTAAAACTAAAATGGGAAGCTTTTTGATATCATTAAGAATTTTAACCAAACCCAATAGGATTATAGCAACATTTTAATGCGAAAATCCATTTACAACCTCAACAGTAAGTATTAATAACCTAAGGAGAATTGTTAACAACCTTAGCAATATCTGTTAACAACTAACTTTATCGGATAATATAAATTCTAACTATAACTAACTAAACTATAACTAAATAGTCTTAAAGTTAATCTTATATAGTTGTTAGAGGTTATATTATCCTATAAAGTCAATTGTTAATAGATACTGCCTAGATTGTCAACAGCTCTCTTTGGGTTATTAATACTCACCATTGAGGTTGTAAATGGATCTTCGCATTAAAATGTTGCTATAATCCTATTGGGTTTAGTTAAAATTCTTAATGATATCAAAAAGCTTCCCATTTTAGTATTAAAGTTGTTGTATTATACTATTTGGTTATAATTTACTCTTATTCGGAGGTTATATATTCTATAAAGTAAGTTGTTAACTGATACTACTTATGTTGTTAATGCCTTCTCATTCGGTTGTTAATAGTCACTGTTGAGGTTGTAAATGGATCTTCGCATTAAAATATTACTATAATCCTATTGGATCTAGTTAAAATTCTTAATGATATTAAAAAGCTTCCCATTTTAGTGTTAAAGTTGTTGTATTATATTATTTGGTTATAATTTACTCTTATGTAGAGGTTATATAATTCTATAAAGTAAGTTGTTAACGGATACTGCTAGGGTTGTTAACACCCTCTCATTAGGTTGTTAATAGTTGCTGCTGAGGTTGTAAATCGTAATGACAGAGCAAATGTGAATCTGGAATATGAGGGGCAGTAATGTCATTTTACAAAACGAAAATATTACTCTGAGGTCCCTTGGGACCTGTCAGTGATTTTGATATTTCGTGGGACCTCAGAGTAATAAATTGCCTTCTGTGGGACTTGTTAGTGATTTTTCCATTATTTTATGCCTAATACTTTCTTTTTCAAGGGTCACAACATAGTTGTGCATTGTGAGGCTTCCTTGATGTGGCTGGCTCCCCACTGTCATGAACTCATCTGGCCAGCCCGTAAAATTAAACTCAAGTGATAATGTCGGCTTCTAAAGATGGATTTGGCAGGTACGAGGGAGTAATATAGAAATATTCACACATCGAAATGGGAGAACAGAACAAAGTGAAATAATTTCAGCTCCCTTAATTACTAGTAATTATCGTCCATTTTTGTTCCTTCCTATTTGGCCCCGTCCTTCGCAGCGGAATCAGTCGTGAATCAACCTCAACACTCCGAGGTTTAAAAGTTGACATAACCTCTGATTGCGTATAAATAATGACTCCACATTATAATACTCAGTCACTAGTAATCCAAACTTATTATTTTTAATTTATTTAACTTGTTTCTTTAACATGATAGCAGTAATTAATACGGCTTAATGAAAGGGATTGCAGGGAGTGTTTGGATAACTTGTTAAAACATGCATGTTATTTCCTCTTGTCATAAATGTAAAAACTAGCTAATTAATTCATTCATACATGGCTTAAAAAAACCAGTTGATTTAATAATTTCTAAAAGTATGTGTATTGATATTCAAAAAAATGTCTTTTTTTAGTTATTTATATTAAAAACCACTCCTATTAATCATGCACTATAAGGTAAATATAATGCACAAATAAAATTGAGATATTATATTTATCCTGATCAACACAATCTTATTAACTAGCTTCTACCTTCAGAGAGGGAGAGAGAGAGAGCATGATTCACTGAAGATATGTTGCGTTCTCCACATTTAATTTGGTGTAGTACTGTGCGTATTTGTCCATTTGTTTTCAAAAATAAAAACTGTATTTACTGCGTATTACCAAATCATGCAGCATGTGGGCTCCGAAAACGCATAGATTTGAACATTGGAGCTGGTCATATGCGACTGAATCTAAGACCCCAAAGAATTGAAAAATATAATAATTTAATTATTGTCAGCTTTTGTCTTTTTGAAGCGTGTATGAACGATTCATGTAAGCACGAATAAATAAAAGGAGAATTGCAATTAGGTCCCATTCAAAAGAATTAAATGTAAAAAAATCCCTTGAAATCATAAATTATTCTAAGTCCTAAGGGACCTTTTTGTAATAAATTTTATTTGTTTAATTACCAAATTACCCCTTTTTTTTTTAAACTTTGTGTTGACAACTGAAAGAGCAGTAGTTGACAACTCAGGGTGCAAGGATTGACAACTATCGCGGCTGGTTTGACAACACATTTTCTCAGCATATCACACCATAAGTTGTCAAACCAGTCGCGATAGTTGTCAATCCTTACATCCTGAGTTGTCAACTACTGCTCTTTCAGTTGTCAATGCAAACTTAAAAAAAAAAAGGTTAATTTGGTAAGTAAACAAATAAAATTTAATGCAAAAAAAATTTTGAGACTCTAAAATAATTTCATAATTTCAAGAGACTTTTTTGTATTTAATTCTCTTGAGTGGGACCTAATTGCCATTTTCCCATAAATAAATAATGAAATGGCAACGATCCGGGATGGACGAACAGTCATTTCATGAGGGCCTGCGTTTCACCTCTATTCTGTACTTTCACCGTCCCCTTTCAAATAATACCCACTATTCTTTGTTCTTTATTCTGAAATTGATGATCCCCTCTCTAACAGTTTCGGCTGGCCTTTCATTTGTAATATAAGACGAATCTCTACTATCTAAAAATAAATCTACAATAATGGTGCTCTGAATAGCAAAATATTGCGTTACCTGTAGCTACTAAAACTCCTAATTAACTGACATTCAACAGAGAATTTATTTCCATAAGAATCTCGAAGATTTTTTTCTTGAAAAAAAAATACACAAAAAGATGAAAGTATACATAGTATTCACTTACTTTTTCTTCTCCTTATTAAATCATTTTTCTGACATGTTATTTTTTAAAAATTCCAGAAAATTCAAACTTGTGAAAATCCCACCCTAGAATTAATTTTTATATATTAATTCCATTTTGAATTGCGCTCTTCGTAAAAACAAGAAGGAAATGCGTGAACAATTTTTTGTTTTTTTTTCTATGTACATGAATTTTTTTTTATCAGAGACAGTCCTGTTTGAAACATTGTTTCACACTAAATATAAACACCTCCTGCCTGCAAGGGTCGGGTCCGACTGGTCGCAAACGGGAACGCAAGGCGCCTTCCCTACCATGTCATGGGCTCGATACCTGCGAGTGCACCTGGGATTAGTTTGGCCGGTTGTGCTGGGATACCCTGAGGTAGCGATACCATCCTACTCAAAAAAAAAATATAAACACCTCCTTTGAGATTCCAATTTTGCCCCTGGTATCCTCCCAAGAAAAACAAACGTCAGGTGAAAAAAATAGGTGGAAAGCGATTGAACGCGAGGTGTGCGTATGGGTTGTTTGTTGGTTCCTTGGCGTCCGCCCAATCTGTTGAATGCCTGTTTCATAACTAACGGCGCTCTTATCTAGAGACGTTAACGGGAAAAAAAAAAACCTGTGCAAATCAAAAATTATTTCTACTTGTTTGTCATTTTATTTATTTATTTTTTTGGTGAAGTACTTGTTTGTCATTTTAAAAGTTGAAGACAATAGATGATATTGAATAAATTAATAAAATATTCACACACAAAAAAAGAATAAATAAAAAAATATTTAAAATATCAAGTGTCAGAAGTATTAATCCAACATAAAGTTGAAAATTTCTAACATGCTGTGTTTATTCGGTAAGAAAAATTAAGACCGCACAAATTGACTCTGTACGGGGCCCGCGCATTGTATGGTCTCTATAGGTTATATTGCTGATCATTTATAAATGGCGAAACTTCTGATCGATAATCATGTTCAAGTGCATGCCCCTCGCTCTTGGTAAAACATACATTCTAAAAATGTTGTACTGGTTTAATTTTAAATAGAAGATTAATACACATTTTGATTCTTTTTATTTTAGTTTTAGTCTTTTAAATTTAAAATTATAGTTTTTAATTCTTTAAATTTCATTTCACTTAAAACACATGGTTCCTTAAATGCAATAAAAACCTATACAGTTTCGTATCATAAGAGGCTAAAATTTATAGTTTAAAATTTGAGTAACTAAACAAAATGAGAGCAATCTTAAGCTATTAATCCTTATGTATATATATTACCTCTGGTTATATTACCTCCGATTCTTAATATAAGACCCTATTTGACTTTTATTTTGGTCCTAAATATAAGACCCCAATCCACTCTGTCTCTCATATTTATGCATTTTTTTTTAAAATAGTCCTTCTAATAATGATAGTCCTAGCCAATATAGTTGATTAGTAAGGATATTTTAGGAAACGCAATACATATTTATTATAAATAACTAACTTAACTTCTTTCTTTAATCTCCTCAAATTAATCAATTGGGCCTTATAATTAGTATCATAATTGATAAAGTGAGCAGGAGGGGCGAGAACAGTGGGGACAAGTTTGGGGACCGCGCATGAACTTAATATAATGGGGGCGAATATTTTATTCTCTAATGATCATAATAATAATATTGTCCCGAGTGCGATGCGTATATTGAAATGTGCTAAGCCTGGCCTTGTATACTCATTAATGAATCAGTACTGGATACTGGATAGCAGACCCTGCCAAAGCCGAGAAAAAATGAGCGGAGGTGGAAAACAGTCAAACTGGGGGCCCCACCAAGGAGTCACATAGTCAAAAAGGCCATCACAGTGGCATGTGCGCCAACAAGTCTTAATGCTCGGCAGTCATGGCGCCCACAGTTGGCCTCGATCACTGTGTCGTAACGTCTCCCCAGAATCCGAATACGGTCGCACACATCAGTGTGTCTGCACAGTCTCTGATGATGGTTCACGGCTCCAGGCGAGCCCCCGCTGCAAATAACCAACCACGTCCGACGAGGCAAAGACGAAAGAGAGAGAGAGAGAGCGGGATCCAAATAGAAGAACAACCTCTCCTTGTTGGTGAAGGTTGTGCGATTCTGTCAACATAATTTATGGCGGGCATATTCGCCTCCACCCTCTCAAAAGTTCAGTTCACAACATACACATCAAGTCCAAGTTTGGTCATGCCAGAAAAATTCACTCATTTAAAGTGGGCCCTTCCTAACTTCCTTCCTGTTATCCTACCAAATACTTCAAATTAGATTGGTTGCAGAGCTGCACTTTACATGTTGCAGACGAAAAGAGTATGAACGCTCCGCTAAAAATGTCCATGCACACTGCATTTTCCTTTGCGATGAGTTATCCTTTTATATATATCATGCAACGTTCCCAGATTCATCTTTATTCTTTATGTGGCGGCCATCCCGGTGACACTGACCATTTTACCAACATTTCATTTCTTTCCTCAATTTACGACATAATACAATAATTCACAACCCAAAAAACTCCTCCGTGATTCACCCTTATTTGTGCCCAAAATATTGGCTTTACTCACAAGTCACAAGCCAAATACTCGGGGGAGGAAAAAACTAGTGAGTTCTAATTATTACTCTCTCCGTTCCTTATTATAAGAGACGAATAACCGAATTACGTCGATAAAAAAACAGTTAAAATTAGTTACGAACAATTAATATGTAAAAAATATAATTTTTTTTCCAAAAATGCCCTCATTAATAAGGAGAGAGCATGAGAGAGAACAACAGTAAATTTTTAAAAGAAAGAGAAATGGGAAGGAGAGAGAGTGTGAGTTGGAGACAATAAATATGGGTAAAATAGGAAATCAACACAAAAAAGTAGAGACAACTTTTAAGTGTCTCTTATATATAGAAACATGTCATAAGCATCAAATGTCTCTTATAATAAGGAACGGAGGGAGTATTATTTTTCTTGAAAAAGGGAGTGCCGCGTATCAATAAAGATGACGACTTTAGAGGCAACCGTATCATTGCAAGGCTCTTTTGCAGATTCATATTTATGATTTTTTTAACATTTTCTTCTATCCTTTTTCTTTTGTCATGGGGTCCCGTCCCGGTGTTCATGAAAAGAAACAACCGAATATTGGGTGATTGGTAACTACTCGCCCTTCCTATCTGGGCAGTCTGTAGGTGAATAAGCTCCGTGTCGTCCCCTGCGCTAACAACTGACACCATCATTCGGACCTTTTAAGCCTTTTGGCTGTGCCCGCGACACTCCATTCATCACCTTCGTCGTTAATACTGTTTTTCCTTCATCAAACCACTCCCTTTTCTCCAGAACATTCCAACCAAGCAGCGATTTATGGCATGAATAAGCAAAACATGAATATTTTCGCCTATTTTCAAACAATCTTGTAACGTCCTGGTCACTCCAATGGCCAGCTTCGGCGCATGGGAAGGGATGTCGGAGGATCTACTAGCGGAACAGTTAAAAGAACACAATATCCACGTATCCGAGTGTCGTTGCAAACTGCCTTCCCTTACGGTTATCATATTAGCATTAAATAGCGACATATGCACTAATTAGAAGGTAGACATTGATGGCGGCCAAAGCGAATCCGAACGGAGAGCTCATTCGAAAAGCTCACCCAAAAAACACAGCAAAGTTTCCGCTCTGTTAATTCACGGCTGCTAATCTGCTATAAAAGTGTATCCGCAAATTACGTCAATTCAGCTTAAAGCAACCGAATTAAGTCCATTATATATAATGCTGTGTTGTTTATATTTATATACACACTCTTTTTTTCCCCCGGTTGAGAACAATCATTGTCATGGGTCTGCTGAAAAACAAAAGAGAGAGAAGAAAAAATTACTTGTTTTGAATTACCCCTGGAACTTATTTCTTGTCCTTGATCATTTTAAATGGATAGCAAGGAGAGGTTGAATTCAGGGTATAGGGATCCAAAAAGTCAAAAGGCGATACTGGCCAGGAAAATGGTACCTACCCTTCATTGGTGCGTGCATTCAATTCCCTCAGAACTTACAATGACAGTAAAGTGGAATTTTGAGCTCAAGGAGAGGCCCCATTTTCAAACTTTCACTCGCGCTGCGTTGCGAGTTGCATTCAAAAACCCTAGACCAGTTCCTCGAGAACAGCCGGATTCCCATGCCACAATCTTCCTCCTTCTCTCTCACCTATCCCACTTTTTTACCTTTGCGCATCATCATCTTCATAACATGCCCTAAACAATGATTATAAATAAAGGGTCGGAACCGTAAATACGAAATGACACTGTTAAACATAGTATTAAGAGGATAATACTACCAAATTATCCTCTACTCCTGCTCACATTTTCTCTCTCTCATTGCCGCATCTAACTTGCTCCAGTAGGGCAGTCTCAGTCTTTCGCTGCTCATCAATGCTTCTAAGAAAACACTAGCAACTCTTCTGGACCAGTAGCTGGCCATGGAGGTTGGACTCTGAGAGAGTGACGCCAGTGAACTGCTGTCTCTTCTGCATCTTCTTCATCAACAATGCTCCAACTAAACTGCATTGTGTTATTCTGCATTCTGGTGTCATTTTCGCCACTCGGCCGAGCAATGCTGAACCTCACTCTTCCTGGCCAGCATCCGGACCCAGATTCTGTCGTTCGAGAATTTCACAGGTACATGTTACCCTTGTTTCTCAGGGGCTTGATGCAGAGCACTCTGTTCCTTCTGTGGGTGGTCCTACATTGCAATGTAGTATCCTAAAATATGTCGAATGACTAGATCTGGGTGAATATCCACTTGTTTATCATTATTTATTCATGTTTCCTTTGTAGGAAAGTGAATGCTTCAATAACGAGAAGGCAGATGCTAGCAGATTCGCAGATACAAGACTCATCGTGTTTAACAGGGAACCCAATTGACGATTGCTGGAAATGCGACCCAGATTGGCCCAACAACAGGCAGAGGTTAGCTGACTGCGCGATTGGGTTCGGGCAGTACGCCAAGGGAGGTCAGGGCGGCGAGTTCTATATCGTCACTGACTCCTCTGACGACGACGCCGTCAACCCCAGACCTGGTACACTCAGATACGGCGTGATTCAGACGCAGCCACTGTGGATAGTGTTCCCCAGTAATATGATGATTAAATTGTCTCAGGAGCTCATCTTCAACAGCTTCAAAACTATCGATGGCCGTGGTGCTGACGTTCACATTGTGGGCGGTGGCTGCATCACTCTCCAGTATATAAGCAATGTCATCATTCACAACGTTCACATCCACCATTGTCGCCCCTCAGGTCATTATTCATGTCTTCCTTGTCACTTTCAGCTTTTTTCCCCCTCAATATTTCGTGAAATTCGTTTAAATGTTAAAGATGATAATCAACCCAGGGCTTGAAAGAAACATGTTGGTGTGATTTTTGTAGTTTTGAATTCACTCACCCAAGTGCAACTTTAATATTAACAGGAAACAGGATTAGGAGATAACACTTGCAATGATACTCACTGGATTAATAAATAAAAATATATATAAAAAAAAAGAGGAAGATGACATTGATATTGGAGGCTATTGCTTTACCGGATGGATGACTCATGCTATTGTATTGTCATTCTAAAGTGCTTGCTTTGCTAATACCCCCCCATAAAAAAGGACTTGCTTCGCTAAATGATATAAATGATAATCCGGGAAAAGTGTGGGGATTCGATATTTTGATGAACATCTAAGTTCATTAAATCTGTATCATTTATATTTCATTTGGATGGTTCGGATTTGATTTCTTTTTAATGTTTATTTGTTTAAAATAATTATTTTAATATGTATAGAATCTAAAATAAAAATAATATCTTAACTGTTATTTTTTAAAAACTAATTTTTTCTATTTAAAAATAATTAATTAAAAATTTTAAATCTAAATTATTCAAATTAAATATAGACCGATGTATATGAGATAAGTTTAGGATGAAATTGTGACCGAGAAAATTCTGTTGAAATTAAATGCATGGCTGGAGTCACAGCCTAATGTGTAATGCATGCTTCACTGATCTCGCTCTCTGGAAAATTATTTGGCATCTATTCTTAATTTCTTCTAGGTGGGCCCGGTTTGATTTTTGTGACTTGTCAATTTTCAGACTGCAAACTTATCTACGCTCCCACCAATTGGCACATAAAATTGACCTCAATTATGAATTTGCACTTTCCTAAAAGTTCTTAATCAGGATCAATCGACTGCTTATGCAATTTTTACCAAAAAAAAAAAAAAGAATTAAAAAGGCATTTGCGGTGGGTGAACAGGGGAGGCTAACGTGCGATCCAGCCCAGATCACTATGGGTGGCGAACAGAGTCGGACGGCGACGGGATATCGATATTCGGGTCGAAAGACATATGGATCGACCACTGCACTCTGTCTCGGTGCAAGGACGGGTTGATCGACGCCGTCATGGGTTCGACGGGCATCACCATATCCAACAACTACTTCTCTCATCACAACGAGGTGATGCTTCTCGGCCACAGCGACGACTACCAGCCCGACTCCGGGATGCAGGTCACCATCGCCTTCAACCACTTCGGCGAGCAGCTGGTCCAGAGAATGCCTCGCTGCCGGAAGGGATACATCCACGTCGTCAACAACGACTACACTCACTGGGAGATGTACGCAATCGGAGGCAGCGGTAACCCCACGATCAACAGCCAGGGGAATCGGTACACAGCGCCAACGAATCCGTTCGCGAAGGAGGTGACCAAGAGAGTGGACACGGAGGAAGGGAAGTGGAAGGGGTGGAACTGGAGATCGGAAGGGGACATAATGGTGAATGGAGCATTCTTCGTGGCTTCCGGCGAAGGGGTGGAGGTCAAGTACGAGAAGGCCTACAGTGTAGAGCCTAGGTCCGCCGATCACATTGATTTCCTCATAATGCACGCCGGCGTGCTCGGCGTTTCCAGGTTTCCTTCTTTGCTGTCTTTCATTTATTTATTATTTATTCTGGGATGTTTGCTTCTCTGATGAAAAAAAAACTAACATGGAAATTGGCAGGGATAACAATCTGGGGATGTGGAGCAGGGGGCCGAACGGAGAGGGCGATGAGATAACAGAGTCAGGACCCGAATACACTGACGATATGGCGGGGACGGCGAAGCTGACGGCGGAGGCGTATTGGGTGGGTGTGATATGGTGTTTGATAGCACTCTTGTGGGGGTGGTTATGCGAATTGTGATATTAAAGGGGGCCTTTTGAGTAGCATTTTCTTAACATTAGGAAGAGTGAAAGCATTCAACTGTGATGCTTCCTTCTTCTTCTTCTATCAATTGGAATGAAATTGAAAGACGCCTGCTCCTCTCTAACACTTCCCCGATTTGGCATCATTAAGGCTGTACATACATATTCTTCTTCTTCTACTACCCTTCCCCTGCCTACCATTTTCTTCTTTTAAATTTCTCTTGCCATTTTTTTTTCCCGATCAATCATTGAAGGTCACAATACGAAACAAATGGGTAAAGATAAAATGAGCTAATGCTGTACACATTCTTTCTTATGTCCAAGTCCAACTACAACGCTACTATGGGTTAATTATATTCCACTTGTTTCACCTTCGTTTATTCAATTGGGTAAAGAAAAAAGACCAGCTTAAGTTTTATATTTAAAATCAAACGGAGTATCACAAAAAAAAAAAAAAAAGTGAGTGGAGCATTCGTTTTACTAATCGCTCTCCTTCTAATTCTTAGTTTCCAATTTACTTGTCCCTTCGGGACATCCGACAGTTTCCAAGCTACTTGCACTTTCATATGGCTCCCAGTCAGGGCAAAGGAATAATTAAGATATTTTAAAAGCAAAGGATTTGAATGGATAAAAAGAAACAAGAATTCCAATCTACTTCCTATCCACTCATTTTCATACACAGCTTTAATCATTTTTTTATGCGAGCTCTCAACATTACTTCTCGCAGGAGATTATGTATTTAATTGTTTGGTAGGTTTTTGTCTAACCTCTGCCCATTATTCTAACCAAAGAAAAAGGGGGAAAAAGAGCGAGAGGGTCCCCCCCCCCCCAAAAAAAGTGATTTATATTTTCCTTATATAGCATGTGACGCCTACTTGTGGCCGGCCGTTCGCTGCATTTAGGCATACCTTGTTCTTATTAACATGTAATATCTGACCAGCGGATATTATTTTATTTCACTCTTGACCAACTCTCTAGCCAATAATGGCCCTTATCTACTTGTATTATAGCACCAATCTATATAGTTTTCTTTATCCGATCGAATATTTATAACAAAAAGGGAAAGAACAAAGGTTGCCTTACGTAAATGAATGTGAATAATATGCAAATTGTTACTTACTTGAATGCTGGATGCCACTTCCATTTTATTGAAATTTTGCTTCCTGCCTTCGATTTATCTGACAAATTATTGCATGTTTATATAAGACCTTTCGTTTTACTCCATCCACCCCTTTTTATAAGAAACATCTGACCAAATCAATAAAAAAAGTTAGTTAAAATTAGTTATTACAATTGTATTACATTCTTAATATATTATAATTCATATATATTATTTCTATATCATCGAATTGATAATTATTGAACATTAAATTATTGTAACAGTGTCATAAATTCAGCTGATCATCAGAGTTTTTATAGCTTCCATTTCTGATGGTAAGTTTGTGCTAGAGTTCGATCGACTTGCCGCACCTTTGATTCGTAATATTTTCACTCTCAGATTTAGGATGCATGGGAGGAAGGCATCTAGTTTAGATGAATTTCGAATAGTGATTACAATATGTGACTCAGAATGAAAAGTACATTTAGCATAATGCAATTTTCATAGCAATGCGTAAATACACAGAATACATAAGTGAAAGGGAAGTCTATGGTCAATTCATGTCCCAGATGGAACCTGAATAAGAACAAGCCCACGTATCAGAGTCAAACCATGTAGAATAAGATTCAGCGGACTGGAAGCTATAATTACAATGATATTCATAATATTCTATTTCATTCTGATCTTTTTGCAGTTCTGCTATCCAATCTGATATTCGTATCTCGTATGGGGAACTCGTGATTTCCCATTCTGATGGTGGACAGGCTTGAAAGGAATTATCCTTAGTCTCCTCAACATTTTCTGGGCATCCAAGGTTGATTTGGTCGTAATCCTTGCCAGCCTTATCATTCATGTTTTCCTCACTGAAGGCACCTTGTTCAGTGTTGTCTGGTTTACATGGGAACTCATCTAAATATAAAATCATTGAAAACACGTGCAATTAAGAACAACGGTGATTAAATGGCACAAGCCAAGTAAGTTCAAATTCGGTCAAACATATATGAAGAATTGCACGTCTAACCTCCTTGTTTAACTACTCGTGCTTTCTTCCTTAAATGAGTTCTCCAGTAATTCTTGACTTCATTGTCAGTTCTTCCAGGTAGACTGCGCGCAATCTTTGACCATCTGGTGGATTGCTCAACAAGTGAAAACAATTAAGCGTCATGTCATGCGTGAGCTAGAATCAGTAGAGAGGACAAGGAAAGAGTCATACTTGTTACCCCATTGCTGGTGAAGTTGAATAATGACTTGCTCTTCTTCAACACTAAAAGGGCCATGCTTCAGATTTGGACGAAGATAGTTCATCCACCTCAACCTGCAACTCTTACCACTTCTCCTCAGTCCTGTAAAACATCAATGGCCATTACCTTTTGACATGGTTGGATCCATTAAATGAAGTCTCGTCCACCATAAATTATACATACCAGCTACTTTGGCAAGGGAATCCCATCTTCGTTCTCCCAGACAAGTAACAAAGGTGGTTAGTTGCTCGTCTTCCTCTTGCAGCCACGGCCCTTTACGCAAAATCTCTCCTTTCATGCTTTACTGATTATTGATATTTATCACAATGTACGTTGCACTTAACCTGGAGAGGGCTGTAAGGCCACATATACATATATAAGGCTACAAACACACACAAGCAAGTAAAAAGAAAGCGATGGATCAGAAAAGAGAAGAGGGAAGAAGCGAAAAGGAGGGTGTGACCGGAAACTCTTACGTAGACCACTGGATGTGTGTGGGATCTCCACAAGCTATTGACTTAACAATTAATTAAATTGGTGCTGACCGAAGCATCCATGGGATACATTAGGTCGTTAACTCGTCTAAGATTAGATGTACTGCTTACTCCTGGCATCACTAATTCTGTCACGTTGTGCCAACGTTGTCATTCGCTTCTGCTTCAACTCGGTTCAGAGTTATGGATATATGATTTTTGTCCTTTCTAAACAAGATATAGATGTTTATGATGAAAAGAGAAAAAAGATCTGAAAACGGGAACTTCGAAGAGAAAAAAGTTGAATGGATGGGGATTGGGTTTTGGAAGGTAGTAGACCAAACCATAATTTGGATCTCTATCCAGATCTCTTTCTTCAGATACATTGGAAGGAACCCAGTCTGTAACGCCACGAGTGCGAAACAGATGGGCTCAAATATCGCCACCCCTATCAAAGCATATCAAAGCATATGATTTTTTATATATTTTTTTCTTTGACCATTTTTTTTTTTTGGCCAACGTCTTTCTTTGATAACTTCTTTGCCATATGAAGCAAACGAGGTAACACTTGTATTTCATTTATTTCATAACCTGCGGAAACGATATTCTGTTCATATAACAACAGTTAATACGCAGTATTTCCCACCATGGTTTTCATAGCGTGCTACATGCTCCAAACGTTTCAGAGGATACTTGCTTGATTTTAAAATAGGGATTCGCTGCTGGCCCCCCAAAAAAAGTTGAGATTTGCTTTTTAAAGAACTGCCAATGGTGAAAAAATTCCAAAGAACCAAAACACTTGGTGGGAAATAAAACTTTTAACCTCTGATTCCCCCCCCCCCCAAAAAAAATTGAATCTTTAAAAATTCCAAACTATATTTGATTTTTTTTTCCTAGTAGCCGTCAATATTTGATTCCCCCCCCCCTCCAGCGATCATCTATTGTAAGAATGACTATTGAAATATTAAAAAGTTCATTCCCTCCATTTTCGTTCTATTTGGATGTATAAAGCACACCATATCTCAGTTCAAAGAACAAGAAATGCAGTATGGGGGATGACCAGACCACCATTGAATCGCATTTAAGAATAGTCGGGCCCCAAGGAAAAAAAAAAAACACATGAAAGAATAGCATTAGATTTTCATTTTTCAACCTATGCGTGCCTCTTGGTTCAAAAGAGAAGACGAATGCAAGAAATTAGAAAGGAAGAGTAAAACAACGTTGTCACCGCCTCGAATAGCAAAAAAAGACCAATCTATATATAGATTCCATTAGGAGTACTCAGGTCAGTTTCACAAACGATGCCCCTATCCAACAAAATCATCTTTGATTAAATGACTTGGATAATGGACAATCAAGTAGTCTTCAAAAAAACAAAAAGAAAATCAAAGTAGGCAAATCTACAGTGACTCATCTTGACTTGACTTCTAACCTCTCGATGTTCAAACTGCAACTGTTTCATCTTTTCACGTGCAATATATCAAAAGGATCACAACGTTAACGATCTATGAATGATTTATTCATAAGATTACAGCATCATCCATGAACTGCAAGTAGATAAAGACCCTTATTAATCATCACAGTTCAAAAACATTCAGAATTACAAGACTTATCTGGGACTGAAAGTATCAGTTTTAACATCAATAGATAAACAAGAAAATTTTAAAAAGTGACATCGCAGCAAGAAATAAAGCAAGATTAATAAATCCAAACTGATCAATGATGATACTCAAGATTCCTGATCATGAATGTATTATCAGTTCCACTAGTTTCAACCGAGCACTAAAAATACAGTCACAATGATTCTGTGCATTTAAAGAAAGAAATTTTATACACAGAATTTGTAAAAGAGAAGCATGAGTTTCTGCCCATAGCATGTGGCTCTATGTTATGTAGTAGAGGAGTTAGTTAGGTTATTAGTGTCTTGGGTCTATAAATAATGGGCTTGGAGTAGTTCATAAACATGGCTTATCACGTTCAACTTTAATAAGAGTCCATTTATTCCTTGCACGCATGAGATGTATGAAAAGATGGACTTAACCTTCCCAAGCAACTTAAGTTCCCGTCCAACTGGTTCCAAAAACTTCAGGTCCACAGTGATAGGCCAGACCTGTCCAGAGATGAAAGAACCCGGTAAAGTGTCGAGCAGGAGATCCTTACGCAAACATAATCTACCTAAAATAGGCATAAACAACAATATTTCTCGAGATGGTCCTAAACTGCTAGAACAATATGCTTTCTGTTGTTGATTTTGTAAAGCTCATGAGATGAGTGATATAGGGTGTGTGTGGTATCATAAAACAAGAGCAACAGAAGAAGAATATACAAGGGATCCGTCTTATGGTTGGATTCTCCTGTCCCCCATAATACCAACAAAAACCAAAATAGTAACTTCCCTGCGGTTTATGAAGCTCAAGAATATATCATGAGACCATCTAGAGTATCAAATATTTCATTAATTGGGTTTTCATCTGACAAATTCCTGTTTAAATATTTTTGAAACATATAGTCCCTCTGTCAAGTTTTGCTAGACATACAACTGCAGAAAAATCAACCAAAGGGAATATAACTTAAGTCAAAAGGGCCGTGCTTGAGTAGGTTACAAAGCTCCCAGGAGATACATATATAACATATAAGGAATAGTAATAATCTGTCACGGATTCACACCTTTGATTTCCTTCAATGAAATACTCCTCCGGTCCCAATTATAAGACCCAATTGACTTATTTGAGGAGATTAAGGAAGTAAGTTAAGTTGGTTATTTATAATAAATAAGTGTTGTCATTCCTAAAATATCCTTGCTAATTAAATATATTGGCTAAAACTATCATTATTAGAAGGATTATCTTGGGAAAAAATGCATAAATATAGAGACAAAATGGATTGGGGTCTTATAATTAGGACCAAATAAAAAGTCAAATGGGGTCTTATAATAAGGACCGGAGGAGTACCAAAAAAGTCGGAGAAAAGTGATCCCCAGAGAGCCCGAACCGATGGCAGATTAACTGCCATTTCAAAACAAGAAAGTTTTATGCAATGCGGTGTGAGATTTAGGAACTCTAAAGCATCATGAAATCCTGAACCATCTAAAAGCTGGCTATCGACTAAATCGCAGGTTTCCTATTGGTTAAAACGAAAATAATACATAAAATTCGCAAACTGGCATCAAGTATAAAATTAACCTAGATAAACAAGACGAATGCAGATTTAGATAGTTAATATTAACACGACAATCCAATAAACGATCAGGACCCATGGGCTCAGTTTTCGCCTCAGATTCTTTAGTGCAAAGAAGATAGAAAAGAACCGATGCCTATGAAATTGAGTTCAAATTTCCAAGAAAGAAGACAGCACCTTGACGCCAAGTAATTTAAGCGGCGCTGTCTGCCCTGGTACGATACAGTCAGGACCGGCTGCTTCCACGATGGCTTCCTCAGCCAACCCACTTCCAATGGGATTGGGGTGCTGCGTTATCCCCAAAAAAATAAATAAGTGCTGCGTTATCCCCAAAAAAAATAAATAAGTAAATTAACCGCACCATGAAGGAATTGATGGGGAGAAAATTAGAGAGGAAGAGGGAACCTTCATAACGGAGATGGCATAATCGGAATGAGGGGTTTGGGAAAGACGGAGAATTGGAGAATGATGGATTCTGGGAATAGGTGTTTCCGATGATGCCCTCCACGGAGCATCCTTCTGAAGTAAAGCAGCTCCACCTTTCCTCGACATTTGCCCCGGCACCGCTCTGCTTTTATCCTTTGTATGCGGCCTCCGCTTCTGCCCTTCGAGAGGATGATGTCTGTCGAGTGTCTAGAGCAGGATAGACACTCTCTCCCCTCTTCAAAACACACACAAATAATTATTAATTATAATTATTTCATTTCGGTTTAAACAGGCAAATAACCCAAGTCACGCGCAACTCACGTGTTTTCCTTTGGACAGGCTTCCTAACGGACCTAAACTCGCGGTTGTAGGGTTTGCTGAGCCTCACAAACTTTTTTCGAATTTCGATGAAAAGAAAATTCAGATCACCCCAAAAACGGCAAAAGAATTGAAAATTTTATTTATATCCATATATTTACGTATATATATTGTTCGCAATTAAGAAACGGATAATTGATTTCATAAAATTTGTGCTAACATTTTATTCGAAGAGCTCTCGAGGCTTGTTGAGCATAATCTATCTATCTAATTCCTGAATTAAAAAATAGTAAAAGGAACCGTAGGAAGGTTAAAACATTACAAGAGGGAAAAAGAATTCATTCACAGTATTACATTCACCTTACTTTCAGTGGTGTCTATCAGAGCGATGCAACGTAGTAACATGCTGCGTCATGCCGGCAAGAATAACGGAGGGAAACTTCCGTATTTCTCTCTGGAAAGCAAAAAAATACAATAAAATATTTCACAGAACATTCTTAATCTGAAGATATAGGTAACAGACTTCGAGTACATTTTTAAGTTACATCTATCGCTGCTTTTTGCCGCCTGATGATCATCCGACTGAGAAAAAATGAAGTGGGAAAGAAAGAAACCCAGATAAGAAAACGAAAAATGGGCACCAATATCAGGGGAAGCAAATCCATAATCCCATCATATGAAGGCAATGAGGCTAGTCTGTGATCATGGCATCACCCCCCCTCTCAGCAGCAGCATCTGCGAGCCTCTTCCAATTCAACAGCCGCTGCTCTTCCAACTCTTTGGCTTTAGCCTCTTTCTCTACATACTGCCTCCGGCACTCTTCATATAATTCAGCATCCATTTCCATAAACATCTTCCGAACATTAACGGTCAGACCATGAACGGCCTGGTTCCAGTGACTCTGGATATTTTTCTCCAACGCCTCAAATATTATTGGTAATATCACACTCCGACTTTGGGCAATTAAGCTTACAATGTGTTCATTATTCCACAGGAAGAGGGCCCGCTCTGCAACCTGCATCGCAAAACGTTGTGCCTAAGTAAACCATTCCGCAGGGAATATTTAAAAATATTATACAAGCACACAATGCAAGTTACGGTACCGTCGAAGCAATTCAAATCCTAATCTGGAGAAGGCCCCATATCCTATACTGATTATGACAACTTTCAGCGACCTAGGAAGGATTTGCTTAAAAAGAGCATTAATGATTAACTCCTCCTTTCTTAAAGTAAAATATAGAAATGAATGAAAAAAGATCCCAAGGAATGATTCGGCACCACCAATTTCCTTTTTTTTTTTTTTTTTTTTGCTTGGCCATCAATTTGGCAACACCATTTTACTCCTCCCTCCTACTGTTCCACTACAGAACACCCCACACCAAACTTTTTGTTCAACGAAATAAAAGATTCGGTGGAACCTATATATATCTTTATAATAACCACAAGCCATTGGCAACCCAAGCTGAACAGCAACTTCTAATATGAGTTAACAAAATATTTCTGATTGCCCTATAAATCCAGACCCTAGAAACTTAGCAGATGCTAGTAAGCTCTATCGCAATTTGCATTCATTATGGGGGCAAAACTGGGAATTTTTTGCTGGCAAAAAAATCCAGTGGCAACAAATTATAAATTATATAGATCTCTTTTAAGTTCTACAAAAATTATACAGATATCCCTATATTGTAAAAACTAATACAAACTTCTCTTAAATTTTGTTGCACACATTCCCTCTATATTCAAAACCTGCCCAAATTTCCCCTGGAATAAAGGGCAAATTACAGAGTTTCCCCTAAATGTACACAAGCATTCCCTAAACATAGGAAGATTGTGGTATTTCAGCTAAACTCATAAGAAATACGTTGTTTAACTCTTCATTTTTTGGAGGAGCTACGCGGAGGTTTTTCAAAATAGAAAAGAGATTCCATAGAGCTACTGAGTTCGCCAAGACATATTAGGACGAAAGAAAGAAGAGGTAAGAAGGGGACAATACTGCTAGTGTAGAAGATTATCCCATGGTTGCTGGCCGCAAGGGGAAAGAAGTGTTATCTGAGTAGGCATGAAATGCCCCTAGGGATAGGGGTAACTTTCTGGGTCTTTAAATGTTCCTTTTGGTTCAGAGAGAGAGGGAAGTTCTGTCTTATTAAATTAAATGTGGTGAAGAGAGTTCTAGCCTCTCGAATCCCAAGTTGCGGGAGGAGGAAAATCAACTTTCTTCATCATTTTCTGTTTCTATTGTGATGTGTCTCCTTTTGTGTTCTCTGTGTGAGTTTTGGTGTTTTCTTATATTGTACCTCCCTTTCATTCCATTGAGGGGAAGAATACTTTGACACTTAATATAAATTCAGTGTTTTATATCTACTACTCTGCTTGGGCTCTATCAAGATCTGTATGATTTTAGAAAGCTTAGGTCCTTGTAATTTTCACTTTTGCGTCTGGGAAACGTCTGTCTAAGTTTAGAAAATAAAACGAAATTCTACATAATTTCAAAAGAACGCAGAGGAGATTCATGTAATTTACTCAAACAATTTAAAGGCTGCACATAGGAAGCAGTCCAGTAAAAGTACTTATCAGCATAAAAATATTGATGATACTTTCCTTAGTAATGAAATGAAGAAGGATAGAAAAAAATTTTAAGCTAGAGATTAAATCAGTGAATAATGCTAAGGACTTGGAATACAAGCTCCAAGAGTTCCAAGTCAATAATTCTAAAAATACAACCAACCAAGAAACAATAATTTCAATGTTATAAGCAAGGTTAAAAAATGTTTCACCCAGAAACAAAAGCACTAGGACTAGCAGAATGATTAGAGTTGGCAGTGTATTTTGCTCAGAAAAATCTTAATGCGGATGTCAGAATGTATGCATAAAAACAATACACAGTGAATTTGACATAATGAAATATTAGTGAATTAACTGTTCTAGCAAGAAATCATCCATCACCAAGCAAGCAAAATCATTATAGACCCAAATATACCACTACCAACAGTTAAAATCATTGCCAAAGGCCTCAACATATCAACCAACGTACAATTTCGCACTAGCAATTTCAAGCTCAAGCCATTTAACATCTTAACAAGATCATTCAATAACGAGAAGTGTGAGTAGGAAACACAATCATTTATGTTTCAGATGTGACCCAATTCTAACTAGATTCAAATATGAGAATCTGGGAAGAAATTCAGATAGCATCCTCTAAATTTTGCCTATCACTATTTTTATCCCATGGTTCAAACAAAATAAATAACTTTTAGATTATTGGGTATATTATCACCATCAATTACAAAATAGATGGATCAAGATTCAAATGCTAAGTTCTGACCAACAAAAACTTGGTGGGAAACCAAACTTTCCAAACGACAGGATGCAGAGTGATATTGAATAAACGGAGCAAGGCAATTTGATCTTGATCTCTTACTTTAATTGGATACCCTGGAACCATCTATTACATGTCAAGACCATAACCAAGCTCCAGGCTTACCTTTCTCAGGATCTTTCTAGACTAGACATGACTTTATAATATTTCTATATATTGTCAAACATCACTAAAATTTCTGCAGAAAAAATCCTACAATGACGCCAATATAGTCCTTATTTCAAGTAAATGCTCACTAATTAGTGAAAATCCTTCGGCACAGGAAGAACACATTCAAGGATTTCAACTTTCAACAGATCTCACTTTGGGCACGCAGCAGACAAGTTCATCTCCAACTTCTGATTTGCTGGCATGCTTAAAATTTTATGAAATATATCCTCACAAAGATAGAAGCACCAAGAAACAAATAAATTACAACTTAAAAATTGCTTAAACAGAAAATTAGCTGCCATCCAAAGGACCCAAGCCATAAATAATTTTTTTCTTGAAATAAAAAATCCCCATTGATAAGGCCAAGGTTATCCACTCTACACATGGAAAAGGCACTTCCAAATTTCATCAGAGAAGTCAAATAATAGTCATCTGATGAATTTCAATTTTATTCAACTTTGTCAGCTCACTACTAGCTTCTTTGAAGAAGATAAGCCAAAATGGATTCAAAGCCCATGTCCTTCCAATAAGAATGATCACTTGCCTGTCTATAAGCGAACTTCTGTGCGTAAAACGCCAGAATAAAATTAAGCCATACAGATAGGACTTAATTTATATGCTCTCGTTGCAAATAAATAATGTAAACATATCTTCAGGGTTCAAGTGTTTGGATCCGTTATCCATAATTCCATATAGCAAAATTACATTTAAAAAAAAAAAAAAAAACTGTTCCATTTGCAGCATTCAAATTTCATAAAAGCCACTAATCTTAATCATAAGCATTATAAACCCCACAAACCTGAAAATGAGAGCTATTGAGGCATTGCGCAATCCTTTTAAACAGGGGAACCATGCAACGTTGAAATTCAGCAGCTTGCGTCGCCTCTAGAACTTCCTCCAGTTCCCCCAGGAAGAGAACTTCCTTCTGGCAGTTGGTCACTGGCCAGTACTTCAACAAACCCCTAATGACTGTATCAGCCAGCTTGTAGTCCTTTTCAACAAACTGAGTGATGCAGTACGACAACTGCTGATGATATACGGCAACTGGTTTAGGTTTATGTAATGGTATTAGCGCCCGCACCAGAAACAACTTGTGCTCCTCTTTCATTGGCAGAGCAAACCCATTGATTATACTCCCCAGAATCTCCAGAAGCTCGCCAATACCACTATGCCTCTCGGTTTCATATATAAAACGATAAAAAATGTTATTAATTGCCTTCCTAATAAATGGCCGGTGAACCATGAATTTACCATATATGCGATGGAGGATGGTTTTCAAATATTCTCGCTCCCGAGGGTCCTCAGAGTCAAATAAATCAAGTAATTTCAACACAAACGAATGATCAATATACCGCTTGGCAACCTTAGTATCCGTATCGGATGACACCACGTATCTCAGAAGCAACTCATACGCGAGCTGCAAATGAGGCCACGCTGGTTCCAAACAAGGTTCCTCTTCTTCGGGATCGGTAATCTCTTGTCCTGTATTTTCATGGGATGCTGGAGGCAAGCATCGGAATATATTTACTGATATCATTCTTATCATTTCCTCCTGACAAGCCTCTGAAATTTTACCCGACCCGGATTGGATGAAGTCAACCAAATCCATAAGTGACTGCCGCTTGATTTCTTTCTCTCGAGCGGACTTCAAGGTATCCGTAAAATCAAAAACATAACAACATACCTTCAACTTCCGAAGGAACAAGTTCTGTCTTTCCGAGACGGGCACATCGCGGAACATCGGAAGGGGTTCGATAGTACCCGAAGGAGGAGCACCAGCCATAAAATTAGGGCCCGATGCGGCAGCACCAGTCCGAGAGGCATGGTTACCGACCACATTGGTGGGGGCCGGAGCCGAATTGCGGTTCGCTGTAGGACCGGAGCCATAAACCAATGACTCATTAGGGTCGGACCTGGAGGGCTTCTTGCCCCCCTTCATGATTTTCTTAAACATTTCTGAAACGCGACAAACCCTAACCCTAAGTTGTGGAGCTGAGAAACGAGTTCAGAAGTAGCTCGTGATTGGATTCTGAATGAGTAAAGTAGTGACATAAACGCCAAGAAGTTAGTCCGAGGATGTCCCTAATCCGTCAATGGTTCTCCTCCCGAATTTCCGCATCGGGGCCGAACGGCTAACGGATCTGGGAGTGGGAAGGGAAACAGAAATGTTTCGATGTTGCAAAGTGCTCCGAAAATTCTGGGACAATAAATCAAAGGGCCGGGGGGAAATTGGCGGGGCCAGTTCACTGGAATGCGGAGAAGGTGACTGGTCCGAGCTGGGTCCCCGCGATCAACAGGTCGATGCAGAGGAAACTGCAGAAACAGAGAAAGAAATTGAGAATGAAAGTGAAGAAGGTTGGGGGTACTGTTGAGGAAGGAGCAGAGACGCAAACGAGGAGGGATGATCGTCGCTGACATGAGCGCCTTTATAAACAGTCACTTTGCACGGAGCATTTTATCCCAAACACAGCTCATACATAATCCTTTATCGGCCCAATAATAATAATAACCTTAATTGTACTAGTAATAAAAATAACAATAATAACAATCCCTCATAATTTATTTTAAATATTACCTAAATATATAATTTATATTGTTGTATTATATGCCAGTTTAATTAAGCTTTTTAATCAAAATATTTTCTTAATTTTTAAAAGTGTATTTACTAAAAATATTATTATTTATTTTTTCCAGTCCCAAAAAAGAATCTCATTTGTTCATAGGGCCTCACCCTTCCACACACGAAATGAAATGACCTGAGCGGCGGACTACGTGTATTTTCAATCTTGATCCAGATTTCCTTATAACCATGCAACTTTTTTAAATTTGAGCCATAATTTCAAGTGGACATCTTTTTCAGAAACTCTACAATTTAAGACACCCGTATTTATGTGTGTGTGTAAATATACATACTTATATTCAAATGCTTAAATCTGCGATCTCCCTCTAAAAAGGAAAGATTTTGTCTCTGGCTAAGTGAATAATATTGTTATTTTACAGTTTGTCACCTCTTAAGTTTAAATTAAAATATTAGGCCGGGAAATTTTTTAGAACTGAAATAAATAAACAGTAGTTAACCCAGCCTAATGTTTCTATGGAAGATAGCTTCAAAATATAGTCCAAAAATAAAATAGCAGTACTTTTCTGAATTAAATTTAAAGAAACTAAAATGTGTGAAAAATTGAACTTGCAGTTGAGGGTTTCTTTCAACAGAGGGATACGTGGCCTGCGTATTTGAAGAACGAGGCATGTAAGTGTGGGACGACCGATTCTAATCCATTTGGATGGATAAATTAAAATCCGCAAAAATGCTTCTTTTTTTTTTTTTTTTTGCCAAACATAGAGCCAAGGTTAAAACACGGAAAAAAATTACACTGTTTGAAAAAAGTGATGAAAGAGATGGAATGGAAGTGACTGTGTGTGGGATGGGGCCCAGGGTGTCAATAATCATCCCATAATGACCAGGCAAGACGTGTTGGCTGATCAATCAAGTTTGAGTCAAAACTCAAAACTCAAAACACGTTTTACCCAGCCCCCTTTTCCACTATTGACGTGGTATTACTTTTTAGTTTTTCTTTTCTTTTCAATATGACGTGGCAGTACTTACCAAGTCAAATTGGACAAATTTATCTATTTTTCGGGAATTTGGGTATTTTTATATATTGAGGTTTTGAGAACTCCACATTTAGCAGCTCCCTCCATTCCATGTATTTATACGTCCACGAGGGGATAAGATTTGCCGTATTCCACATCACTCGACCCAACTCTCGTTCCCTGTAAATAATGCCCTTGTGGGCCCCTCAAGTCATTTTTAAATGTGATTGGATTTTTCCGCCTATTGGCAGCATCGACTTGAATACCTGTTAAGTCGCATGCCCCACAAAATTGGATATTGTGATTTTACTCATTCAACCAATATAAATTGGCAGCGGATAATATAATTTAAATTTTAAATAGGTTGAGAAAATAAGTGAAATTTTTTATTTGTAATAAATAAATATTATATTTTTAAAATATTTTTATTGACAAGAAAAAATACATAAATATGATAGACAAAATAAATTGAGATTGAGATCTTATATTCAAGGTCAAAATAAAAATCAAATGAAATCTTATATTAAGAATCAGAGATAGTACAAACTTATATTTTATATATTTTTATAAGATGTGTACTTCTCATGAACCATGAATATTTTTTGTTTTGTTTTTGAAAAACATGTTGATCTCTGTCAATTGAATTAATGTGTCTGCTGGGGCTAGGGACCATCAAAATATTGCAAAACTTGTGGAGTATGCCTGAATTCAACAGTTCTCTCTTTATATCGTAATAGTATTATGTTTTGGCCCAAAATACTAATACTCTTCGGGTCCTTAATATAGGAACTAATTGCTGAGTTAATTTTGGTCTTAAATATAAAACATATTTTTCATATTTATCAATTTTTCTCAAATTACCTCTATAGATATTCCCTCAACCATAATCAAGTAAAAGAGGGAGGAAAGATATTAAAAAAGATGATTATAGTATTTAAAAAAAAACATACTCCTTCAGTCCTTAGTATAAGACCCATTTAACTAATTTGATTAGATTAAGGAAGTCAGGTAAGTTAGTTAATTATAAGAAAAGTAACACATTTTTCCTAAAATACCATGATCATCTTTCTTAATACTCATTTTCCTCTTCTACTTCATTATGGTTGAGGAAGTATTCATGGGGTAATTTAAAGAAAATTGATAAATATGATAAATGGGTCTTACATTTATGATCAAAACTAACTTAAGAATTGGGTCATCTATTAAGAACCGGAGGAGTATTATATTTCTTATAATTAACTAACTTACCTAATTTTTTAATCTGATTAAATTAATTAAATATGTTTAATATTAAGAATCAGAGGAGTATTATGTTGGTTATTTGAAATGGTTAAATTGTCTGTTTTAATATCTAGACGAATGGGCGCTGGACCTACGTCAAACATCGTATGAGAAAAGAACTGAGGTTGACCTGGGTCAAAATAATTATCTTATATCTCTATGGGCCGATTTCATAATAATATCGGGCTCCCTCAAGCTGGACCATGATTATAATGGACAACTTCTTCTTCTTCTTGTCGGGCTTTTCTGGGCCCATCAAACGGAGGATTTCGTACCATGTCTTCTGCCAACACGATATATCGGAGTTGGACCCAACAGGAAGAGTTAGTCTCCCAACAATATGGTGAATCAAGGTTTGAATTCTCATCAATAGAGTTGTCCATATTTAGTAGTTAATAGTGTCTTAAACAAGATTGTCTCCGATAAAAAGATATATGTATTCACCAAAAAAAAAAAAGACACAATAAGTGTTAGAAGCGGCATTGAATTTAACTAGTGGATGTGTCGTGTGATGTGGTTGGTTTTAGGAGCATTGAATTGATTTAAGCCATTTAATGAATAATCAATTTGTTGTTTGCAACATTGTTTGCCACTGATCTGCGAAAATTGCATAGGTAACCAGTGCCACCTTCCCATCTCCATTAGTTATGTTCCCCCCAGTTTCTTTCACCAGCCACGCCAACGATGAGGAGATCTCAAGCATCCTGCTACTTGAGGAATTAACACGAAAAACAGAGACATACTGGATCAAGTGGCGCTTTTAAGAAAAACTTAAATTCACTGCCTATCATGCGAACTAAGATAAAATTGAGGACTAAAATATTAATTCCTGTTAAATCACGGTAGGAACATGAATTAAATGTTAGCACTCACGTGACCTTGACAACACGTCAAAGTTTAGACCCTGCTCTGATATTAGTAATATCATATAATGTAAATTGACATAATTAAGATTAAGATATGTGGTGGAATCGCCGGCCACAGCATGAACAAGGAAGAATGCAGGAATCGACGGATTCCGTTCTGTTCCCGTCTGGGTAAATAAAAAGGCATCAATTAATGTATATGTTATATACTGATGATTGATATGTACTTTCAAGCATTATTCTTTTTTTCCCCCTATACATAGGCAATCCTTTAAATGTGAGCACCTCTTTGCTGTGCGATCTAACTATATTAATTTATTTTCCAACCCAAAATTAAAATAAATTATAGGTTACGAAATGAGACCCACACTTGGACTATTAATTATTAGAAAACAGAGTCTGCGAAACTAGCCAGCGACAAGAAGAAACAACCCACGGGCTGGATTAGGCCTAGGGTGTGTTTGGGTGACGTCCCAAACCATGGTTTGGGGAATAATCTACCCAAACACCCTCTTCAAAAACCAAAACTATGGTTTTGGAAAAAGCAAAATTTTTTTGCTTTTGGAGAAAAAAAGCGAGTATGAGGGCCTATATGATATGTATCTTGTTATTTTTTTTTATAAACATATTTTTTATAAATATATTTAATCTTATATTTTATAAATATATATACACATTAATTATTTATTAATTATATTATTTTATGTATTATTAATTATGTTGGTAAAAAACATATTATTAACAATTTTATTCCTTCAAATTAAAATATATCATAAAATCTATTTTTTCTGTAATTATCATATTAACTTGTGTCTTTTTTTTAGTAATTTGTATATATAAAAAATGCTTCTGATAACAACTATCCAAACACTCTCACTTCTCAAAATCACTTTTTTACAAAATCTATTCTTCACAGAATCTATTTTCCGCGGAATCTATTCTCCAGAATCACTTTTCCAAATCACGTTTTGGTTTCATCCAAACACACCCTTGTACGAAAAGTAAAACCCCACCAGCCTCTTATCTGTTTGTTTCTTTGCTTCTTTAACTTCAGAGCCTGAACCATGCTACTGCTGATCTCACGGTTTCACTTTATTCAATTCGATCATGGAGACCATGTTCCGGCTTTTAGTGTTCACGAGAGAAGCCTTTAATCTGCCTCTTTTCAATACGTGAGCACCGAAGTTTCTTTATAATTTTATACACACACATATATATATGGCCCACCTCATCTTTGCGAGCGCAAGCTAACTCGGCCGGCGTTGTCCTCTGTCTCTCTCTGTAATTCTCCGCAATTATTTATTGCCCCTGCACTCTCGACACCTTTTCGTTCTACCGAGAGAAGGGCTTCGACGCTGATATTGAAGAAGCCATGGATGTTGAAGCTAGGAGAATGGAGGAAGGGCGCCGGAATTCAGATCGGAACCATGATTTGAAGGACTCCATTGAAGATGAGCTTGAGCATCAGAAAGAAACAAGAGCACCACTGGTGGAGAGTGACACCGTTCAGCAAATAGAGCAGGAGCAGCCGCTTGCGAAGCAGAAACCCAAGAGGATTGCAACCTTGGACGCATTTAGAGGCCTCACCGTAGTGGTTAGTCTACATCCTGTCTAAATACATACACGCAGTCACGCACAGAGAAAACTTCATGGTGTATATTACTCCACTGCTGGCTTTAAAGTAAAACATGTGGGTTTTGATAATCCTGTTTGAGTGTGTGTGAATGTTTCGGTGCAGTTGATGATACTGGTGGACGATGCTGGTGGAGCTTATCCTCGAATCGATCACTCCCCATGGAATGGGTGTACATTGGCTGATTTTGTCATGCCTTTCTTTCTTTTCATTGTTGGGGTTGCCATAGCCCTTGCTCTCAAGGTACGCTCTCGTTTTCATTCCAACTTTCACAACTGTGCTCTTTCTTCTTTAAACCGTGTCAGCCTAAAATTATTTGCTTGAATCATAACTTGGCAATATAAGCAAGGCTAGTTGCCACTGCTCGATCATACATATACTGAGAACGAATAAATTCGTCCAGACATATATCAGTGATAAACACTGTGCTCTCACAATGATTGCAGAGAGTTCCCAAGATGAGGGATGCCGTAAAGAAGATAATACTTAGGACCTTGAAGCTTCTATTTTGGGGTATTCTTCTGCAAGGTAGTCAAAAGTCCTCAAATGTGATAAGCGCTAGCTATGATAAAAGAATATGCTCCATATATATTAAATACTACACTGATGTGTGTGTCTAAAATACTACAGGTGGATACTCTCATGCTCCCGATGATCTCTCCTACGGAGTCGACATGAAATTCATCCGGTGGTGCGGCATTCTCCAGGTTTGGAGATTATAAATTAAAAAAGAACAATATAATTCAGAGCCGTTCTAGTTTATAGTTTGTTGTATGGCCACTTTAATATGAGTGCAGAGAATAGCTCTCGTATACTGTGTCGTGGCCCTGATAGAGACATTCACCACCAAGCTTAGGCCAACCACCTTGAGCCCGGGACACCTCTCCATTTTTACCGCCTATCGATGGCAATGGTAAGAATTAAGATAGCAACATCACGATTCCATATTCACACCTTGTAGCTCTGAAATATACCCCGAATTTGACGGAAATGCATGGCATAGGATTGGGGGCTTTGTGGCATTCACCATTTACATGGTTACAACCTTCGCTCTCTATGTTCCAGATTGGAGTTTCGTCGATCATAGTCAAGACGAACCCAAGAAATATACGGTACACTTCCTCTCTCAGCAACACTCAATGCATGTATTTGCTTTGTTTTGTTTTGGCTATTGTTTTATTCTGTGATTATTTTCACAATTTATTAGGTGATTTGCGGGATGAGAGGACACTTGGGGCCTGCATGCAACGCCGTGGGATACGTGGATCGACAAGTTTGGGGGGTTAACCATCTCTATTCTCAGCCTGTTTGGACTCGGTTGAAGGTTAGATATGCCCAGAACCAACCCTGCCTTTTCCTATTCATCGACACTTGCATACCTAAACACACCTTTGTTTAATAAGCTCAGACTAGTGCTCTTTCAAGTCCTCTCCTAATTCTCTATTTTTATGTATCTAGGCGTGCACATTGAGCTCTCCTGCTCAAGGTCCTCTTCGTAAAGATGCTCCGGCTTGGTGTCATGCTCCCTTTGAACCCGAAGGATTGTTGAGGTTCTTTTATTTCTTTTGCCTTTCATTCCACAATCCAGAATGAGCTCTTATACGAAATTAGTCACGTTAGATGTTGTTAACCAATTAAACATGGATTGAATAATTGTTTTCCTTGTTATCTAGTTCTATATCAGCTATCCTCTCTGGTGCCATCGGGATCCATTATGGGCACGTCTTGATCCACTTTAAGGTTACAGACTTCTCCCCACTCACAGATAAATTATATCTTTTATTTACATGCAAGTTATTGAAGATACAAACGTGAACATTTATTTGGGCAGCGTCATTCGGAGAGGCTCAAGCAATGGGTCTCCTTGGCAATCGTGTTACTGGTGGTTGCCATAATACTTCATTTCACAGATGGTGAGTTTCTGAGACAATGACGTCTTAAAATAAACTACTGTATATGCCATTTCCCTCAAGATGAACCTTACAAACTTTGCCATGCATTGAATGCAGCTATCCCACTGAACAAGCAACTCTACAGCTTCAGCTACGTTTGCTTCACAGCTGGGGCAGCTGGAATTGTCTTCTCTGGCTTTTACCTGCTGGTAACTACCAAAAGCATCAGTTTTAATTTCTTTCTTCAAAAATTAACAAAACTTTGGACCTTATTATCACTCTGCTTCACTTTCCCTGATATACAGATCGATGTGTGGGGATTTCGGACACCATTCTTGTTCTTGGAATGGATAGGAATGAACGCAATGCTAGTATATGTGATGGCAGCTCAGGGAATCTTCGCCGCATTTGTGAATGGGTGGTATTATACAGATCCAAAACACTCGCTGGTAAGAGGCACAATCAGTATCCCTTGATTCATCGTAAAAGTTTCAATAACTTCCTAGTTGGAATGGAAGCTAATTAACCAGATTTGACGTGATGAAATAGGTACACTGGATTCAAAAGCACGTATTCGTGGATGTGTGGCGCTCAGAGAGGGTGGGAACCCTCTTGTATGTCATATTTGCAGAGATCACTTTCTGGGCTGTGGTCGCTGGAATCTGCCACAGATTAGGAATCTATTGGAAGCTGTAAGTCTAACACAGGATAGAATGCCTAGAACGTCTTCGATTTGTCCCAGGGAAATTTGTCCTTGCTTGTTATTGTACCATATTTCCATGTTATTCTAGCTTGGAGTTTCTGTCTCCATATCATGTAAATGTTTCCTTATGTTATAATATGAAAGAAAGCGAATCTAGATGGATCCCTGAAGTAGTCTTTCGGTGAAGAAGCTCCATACGCGGTGTGTTTTTGTGAAACATGTGAGGTGTTGGCATTATTTTTACAAATCAAGAAAAATAAATAAAAGAAATGTTCATTTGATACGCTTAAGAAAACTCCTCCAGGTATGAGCTTTAGGGATCCTCATTCAAAAGAATCACCCAATTCCTCAACACGTTTGCTTTCTTTTTTTTTGATAACAAACACGTTTGCTTTCTCAATGCATCAATAATATCTGTGTCAAATTGGTATAAAAATAATCAAAGAGTTGACTATTATTTCGACCTTTTAATTTATCCATTGTATTTTAATTAAGGTCGATGAATTTTTTTATTTTTGTTATATTACTCTTTAGTTTTATTTAACATTCTAAAATAGTTTCTTAAACCCTTTTCAACATTTCAAAGCTATTCTTTAACTTTTTTTTTCATATTCAAAAAATATATTGGACGAATATGATGAGAATAACAAAGACGAAACAAATTAAAAACGAAGAACCTAATTAGAAAAAAAAAAGATAAAATATAAGTTTTCTCATAAAATATATAATTCACAAGTCATATATAACGCTTCTTTTAGATTTCGTGTCTTGCTTATGGGATCACCAAGTTGAATTAAAAATCTAAAATAAATAAGGCAAGATTAAAAATGACAGATATTTCCCGTTTGGTTAAGTGTGAACCGAACCTACGAGGATTCAAAGCGAAGCTCATTTTTAAGTTTACATTTGTCACAAAAGGAAACAGCGCGGCAGAAAAATCCCAATTTGCTAACTGTAGATGGCTAACAGGAAAATGATTATTTATTCACTTGTAGTTTTCTAGTGACAGGTGGCAGGGTCCGCTTAAATCCAGACGTAAAAAATTACTCGACAATGTTTAAAATAAAATTGATTCCGGGTATAAAAAGACGAGGGAGGGAGAGAGAGAAAGAGCAAAAACGTTGTATCAACGGCACTATGTAAAATAAAACAACACTGTTTTTCGTCAAAAACACCCAGGAATCTTGTCCATGTCAAGCTTCATTGTTGATGCTGACAAACGGCCAGGAAAGACAGGCAAAATCTTTAAAAACGAGATCCTGACGGCAACGGCAGGAATTTTTGAGGTCACACCACCTAATGAGAGGCTTTTCCTTATTCTCAACAAATTCAACCCAAAACAAAAGAAACCTACAACGTGTAAATAGGAATTGCGCCCGGGAAAAGATCAGACAGCGAGTAAGACATCTATGTTTGGCGTTTTCCGAGCAGTTGATAACTCAACACGGGACGACTAGAAACTCACAATATCTGCAATCACAATCCATGACCAGTGAAGCGCGTCTCAAAAAAATATCTAAAGGCAAACACCTGGGGAGGATTATCGCAAGCAGGACATGTCACAACTATTCACAGAATTTAATTATAAGCCCAATCTCCTATTAAAATCTGATAATGAAAGCTTTGGAATCTTCTTGATTTTATATCCTCAACCCTAGTTTATGACACTGTTTCAATGAAACCAAGGACCACACGACAGCGGAGCTACCGAATCGTGGACAAATCTCTGAGTCAGTGGACAATGGATCTCTCTTCTCAATCACATGCAGGGGACGTCAGGAACAGCCGCAAATAAAGACCCAGTCCACGCAATGTAAATGCCATTAATGAAGATGCTGTAATAAGTGCCACTGGTTGCTCACAAATTAAGGCCCAGCTACCTAGTGCTTAGCAATTCCCATTCAACGAACGTGTCAATATGTAAGTAAATCATATTATAGACTAGAGGGAGAAAGAGATGAATACACATGTTATACCACATTACAATATTTCACTTCTCATTCATAATAAGCTTCTCGTACTCTGCCCTTTTTAACTGCTTCTGCCTACTCATCTCTGTACATTAGGTTAGAACTACAGCAGCTCTGAAAAAACTATCGAATACTAAAAATCATTTTCACCACATATACATGCCCAATTACATCTAACAATAGCTATGATAACAGTAACAGACCAAATTGCACTGTACATATAGAGGTCCCTCCGAAAGGGACAGTGTCGGCAACCATGGGTTCATTCCCAACCCATCAACATTTTCCAGACTCCTTCTTCAATCTTGTTCCTTGCAACACTCAATCCTTCACCTTCATCAAGCAAAACCTTATACACTTCCCACTCGCGGTCCCTAATCTCGTGTCTTCCAATTTCAGCCTGTTCAACATTAATCAATGTCATTCATTCTATGGAACCAATATGAACAATACAAAAAGGAGGCGCAATTTTTGAGTAAGTACCGAAAAGATGCAGATGCCCAGCTTCTTGAGAGCATGAGTAATGTCATAAAAAACAAGAGGTCTTCCTTTGCCGGACAACTCCACAGGGTTTGCCACCATCAGCTCCACATCAGGACCCCTACTTATTACTGCTACTCTGAGTGGACGAATCAGTTCCATCCTCAGGCGAGAGGATAACCACCTCTGCTTGTTAGGATCCACTATCTTTTTGCCATCTGCTTGCATTATGAACAAGTCTATGTCACATTTCCCTCTTGATTTTATTGAGAACCTCCCATAAGAAATCTGCCCCGCAATCACACCATTAGGTTTATTAATACATGCAAATGCAGAGAAGGCTAACATCATGTCTTCAGACTTGAGTTTAGTATGTTTACCTGAATGTTGTAGTCCTTGAGAGTTCTCATGATATCATAAAGAAGGCCTTTGTGATCTTGGCAAATGATTTGAACAAGCGTGTGAGAAGGGCTCAGCAGGTTGTCCATCGTGATAGAAACACTCTCGGATGTGAGAGTTGCACTTCGAACTGAATCAGACAATTCCTTGTCAAAATCATATTCTGTGATTTCAGTTGGAAGGAATGAAGATGTTTGAGAGCAAGTAGTGACTTCTGGGCCGACCAATTCAATGTCAATACTCACTACAACATCCTCCATAATAGCTTTCAACTGTTGAATTGTGTCTTCCCTCCTCGTTTTTGTATGCAAGAGCTCTCTGATATAGTAATAAGGCCACGTATACAACGTTAAAAAGCTATAGGAGATGGGAGTTTTCAACCAATAAACATTTTGTACAGCAGCTAACTAGCTTCAAATTCTCCTAAATCGTATTCTATATCTTTCGAGAAAAACCATCAAATATTTAAAAGATGCCAGAAAAGTCTTAGTGCATTTCCTTGAACTGACACACAATTTTTCTACAGGCGTTAGAATGGGATCACTATGAGGACGACACAAGTCTGAAAAAAATCTGCACAAGATTGTTTCCATTTGAGTGTCTAAACTCAGCTAACACATCGGTCCTACTCAAGCTTCACTTTTTAATGCTATTTTCAAAACACTTCAATCCAGTATCAGTAAATCCACAATACAGAATCAGGCCGCCGAATCTAAACGACACTTTAATTATAATGAAGAAGCAACTGAAGGATAGCAAATGACAACATAAGGAGCTTCCAACCTGGTGTCAGTGATGTAAAACAGATCCATCACTTTTCCATCGGGTGTAGTAGATACCTTCACTTTCTTTATGGTAAGCTCTAGCTCGCATAGAACTTCTGTCACATCTGTCACAGTAATAAGGAAATTCAATCATTTGAGTGTAACAACCGTGTGACCAGACAATAATGATATGATGGAAATCGAATAATTCATCATCAACATATCTTGGACAGTTCTGCAGATTTAGGCTACACACACACACACACACACACACACACACACATCCCTATCCCCTGAACAATACACAGTGAGGAGATAGGAAAACGTTCAGATTTGTCAAGAAGTAGGAAGAAAAGGAATGTTGTAATATCAAGACTGCTAAGAAGTAAGTCGTCTTGGACAGGTCAATAATAGTCACAATCAGCAGTATTGATAGTTAAGACTCGGATTCACAGAGAAAGTTTCTAAATTTACCATGTAAAAGCCCTTTACGATCAAAGCAGCAGAACTTTAATAGGAAGACGTCTGGAGGCTTGGGAGGTTGCAATTCAGAGCGGTAGTAAGAAATTCCAGAAGCAGAAGAACAGGATGGGCACGCAGCAATTAACCTGTTTAATAACAAATTCCACCTCGTTTCCGGCTTACCAGCCACCCAGAATACTATGTAGCACCATCTCCCATCGGTTGATACGTCTTCATTGCATCAAAATAAACAAAAGAGAATTAGTGAAGCTTCACAGAGTCAAAGCTCAAAAGAAACTGATTCTCTAATATACGTCAGTTTCATCAAGCAGGCCATAACCGTATGTCTCAAGTCTCAGATCCAGAGCAACAACCAAACAAAGAAGAAAAACTAGGGTACTTTTCAATTGTATTTTGAATGGAAGCGAAATCCATTATTTGCAGTAACTTGGTCGAGGAAAACAAAGTGTAAGGATCGATGAGAATATGAAAATTGGGTTACCTCCCCTGACAATGTTTAGTCCGAAGAAGAGTATGATGCGACACAAATCACAGCCCAAGCCAGTCTTGTCAGGACAATTCACAGTGATAACGGTCGGGTCACCTTCTTTCTCAGGTTCCGTGATAATCACTACGTCGTCATGCAATATGCCCATGGTATTGTTGGCCTGCAGCCACTTCTTCTTCTTCTTCTTCTGGGTAGGGTTGTAATGATATGGGAGGCGTATAAAATCTGGGAGGAATATCAGGTATTGGGCAAACGCGTGTTTTTTTTTTTTCCTTCACTGTGTGACCACAGATAGAGGATGAGGGTAGAGACAGGGGAGAGGCAGAAGTTTATGTCTCGGTCGCTTAAGTTTGAGTGGTTGGTGACGGCGCCTTTGAATCCCCTGTCGATACTTTCGTCCTTCGCCCACTTGGATTTCCCATTTTATCAATCTCGTGTGCTTTTGACTGTTTCGGCACTTGATAGCTGCCCAGACGCGACCGCCTAATTCTGTACAATATAATATGATTTCCGCCCTTCCGAGCCGGTGCGTTTATATCATTATTTTATAGATGATGACAGTTTTTATTGTTCACAAATTATTATAATGACCATGATAATTACTTTTATACTCCTTTGTTTTGAGAAAGAAATCATTAAAACTCACAACATTCGTTCACATGTAAGGAATGTATGTACGACCGTTGGTTGAAAGGGCGAGAAAAAGAGAATTTGCGACCCCGATTATTCAAGAGTTTTTTTTTCCTTATCAGGCGATCACAGGTTTCACATAAAAGCTTGTTAATCTGATGGATTGCCACATCAGATTGGTGATTAAATAACGGGGAAATTATTAGATTTTAAGGAAGAGATTTAATAACCCAAAAATTCGTTAAGAAACTGAAAATTTTGTGATGACAACATATTTAAAATGCTTATTTATTATTAAATTTTTTTAATAATTAAATCCTTCTTGTAAGACCTTATAATAATTCTCCCTTTAATAAACCAACAAAACATAGATTAGAGTGTTGATGTTGATTATGAAGAAAATGGAGAATCAGCAGAAATAATGATGGGGACGAGTAGGGTCTGGGCGGGGATGAGTGGATGTCCCGTCGTTGTGCATCGCGTGCCTTGCTTCCTGCTAGTGCGATGACATTGACATCCCATCTCTGTTTTTCCCAATGTGAATTATTTTCCTTTTTTCCGAGAAAAAAAAGAGAAAATTATGGATAAATTCTTCGTTAAAAACTTAACTGACAAATAAGACCTAAAAATTTTATGCAACTTCACTTCTTTTGTGAGCAACTTATCTTTCCTTGTGTATAATGTATCTTCACTTATATGCAATGATCTTTCTTTATGTGATGTGCAATTTAATTTTTCTTTGTGCAAATAAAATTCTCTTATGTACAAGTCATCTTTCGTATATGCAAATTAATTTCTTATATTCAAATGATATTTTGTGCAAACTATCTTCCCTTTGTGTAACTTATCATCTTTTGTGCGTAACTAATCTTTTCTTATACAATCAATCATTATTGATTTCATTTACCAATTAAATTTTTAATAAGGGATTTATCCCTAATTTTCTCAATACAAAAAACTACTACTATTAACGATAATCAATATCAATAATGTTGTTATATTATGTCGGTGGTGCTGCCTGGAAGTTTCATTAACTCGTGTACGGATACCTAGGAACAACCCAACCAGTGTCTCGCATCTCACGTCTCCTGATAACCCGCCCGCTTCATTCAACTCGTGGCGATATATCCCAAAAACATCCCCATCTTTCGCGCTGTCGTCCACGGCATTCCTCTCCGCATCAACTTATAATGGTTCTTCCATATATGCAGAGCAAATAAACATTTTCTTTCGTGGAAGTCAATTGCTAAATGCGTTATTTCAATTATTGTAATTGAAGAATTATGGGAGTTTCCTGCTGTGGGACAAATCATATGTAGATTCGTTGTATTTTAATAGCAGAATTAATTTAGTTGTAGAAATACTACTACTCGCAATTTTATTCCCCGGAAAAAATGGATCCAATAATTATCCGTAGAGGTAGAATATGAGATTTTAGAAATTAAGTGCGGGAACAGTATCGGGATGGCGTCCTTACCAAGAGTTAGATTCTTTGGATAGTAAAAGAATCTGATGATGGTATATACCAATTCACAAATGTTAGGCCAGATGCACCGCCGAGGGCTTCCATGACGTTTTTTTTTTAAATTAAAAAAATGATCAGGTGTTTTTAATCACAGTTCTTAAACTTATGAGTTGACTCTTCAAGTTTAATGTTTTTACATTTTCAGCTGACAAAATCGTGTTGATTCACTCGTAACCTCGTGATAATTGTAAACTCGGTTAAACTTACGAGTGTATTTACCAAGTTTATCATTTTATCTTTTTAACTTATAAAATTGTGTTAACTCATTCTTAAACTCGTGCTAAATTTTTTGATTTGATTATATTTAGTGACTTTACATATGAGTTATATAAAAATTCCTTTATTGAATATGATAAATTATGAACATTGATTAATATAATTTTAATTATTTAAATTTAAAATATATTTAAATAAAATTGTTCTCATTTTTTTATATTAATTATTTGATTATATACTTTTAATACCATTCTATTAATAAAAGTAAACTCTTACAAGTTTGTGATTCGAGTTTATATTATTATCACGAGTTTATTTAAACTCGTCAGTTTGACAACTTTATTTTTAATAATGGTTTTTTTTGTGTAAATTAAAAGTCTTTTATAAATCAATTTAGATTTAAGACTAATTTTTATCAGATTAAAGTGTTATCAATAAATATATTTCCCAAATTTGAACTTGTAATACTAGTTTCAGTTCTCAATATAATATTTTGTTTGATTTTTATTTTAATTCTAAATATAAGATCTTAATTTATTTTGTATTTCATATTTATTTATTTATTTCATGATAATCTTTCTAATAATGATAATCTTTATCAATAGATTTAATTAGTAAAAATATTTTAAAAAGATAACTTATATTTATTATAAATAACTAATTTAATTTATTTATTTAAATTAATTAACTAATTTTTATATTTAAGATAAGAGGTAGTATCTTTCTTACGAACTGATGATGGTTTTAATTGTGCTTGGAATAATAAGTAGCTACGGACTGGAGGAACAGGGCAGGAAAGTGAGGGCGGGCGGGCGGCATTTACACGTGTGTCTCTCCCCAAAGTGGAAAACGCCAACTCCACCCCCGGGTTTCTGCCTCCTTTTCCGTCATGCTCACATCATTCAATGACGTCATATTTCCCCATCCTTTTTTTAAAAATTCTCATTCGAATTAAAATTAAAACACCAAGATTTAACGAATCTAATACCTCTGATCCTTAATATAAGATCCCGTTTAACTTTTTATTTGGTCTTAATTATAAAATCCCAATCCATTTTGTCTCTTATATTTATGCATTTTTTTCAAGATAGTCCTTCTAATAATAATAGTTCTTGTCGATATACTTAGTTAGCAAGGATATTTTAGGAATGACAACACTTATTTATTACAGATAACTAACATAACTTACTTCTTTAATCTCTTTAAATAAGTCAACTGGGTTTTATAATTAGGATAGGAGGTAGTATTATAACTCAATCGCAACTCAAAATGACAACATCCCACATAAATATGAGCGCTACTCTCAAGATTCACATCTCTGAACATATTTATTTTGGGGAAATCACAAATAAAGACCCTCGAATTAGCAAAATCACTCTATAGTCACCTGAATATGCCAAATTACCATGAGGGATCCGGTCTCAAATTGTAATTATGAAATCATGGCCAAATTACCAAAATACCCCTCTTTAATTTTTTTTTAAAAGGAAGCCACTGCCTCACCGGAATCCGGCCACCGGCGCCGGAGCTCCGGCGGCCGCTTCCGGCCACTGTCGGCGGCGGGACGTCGAGGTCCAGCCACCAGAGCTCCGGCGCCGGCGGCGCTTCCGGCGGCCTTCCTTTGTTTTTTTTTTTTGCAACTTTTTTTTTCAATAGTGAGGGAAGTGAGGTTGGGGGGATTTGATCCCCCAACCTAATGCTTCCCAAAATAAGGAATGATCATTGAGCCAACAAATTTTTGTTAACATTATAATGCAAAAAAAATATAAGTTAACTCATTTACTCTTGTTCTAGGTGATAACAACAATACATTTGGAAATAACAAGTTCTGATTGTAAAATAACACGTCTGAATAAAAATTTAACAATATGTTTTTTTTATAACAATAAATTTTGTTGCAGGCAATAACAACAATACATTTAAATATAACAAGTTCTGATTATAAAATAACAAGTTTGGGATTAAAATTTAACAACACGTTTTTTTTTATAACAACACACTTTGTTTCAAATGATAACAACAATACATTTAAAAATAACAAGTTCTGATTATAAGATAATAAGTCTGGGATTAAAATTTAACAACACGTTTTTTATAACAATTAATTATTTTATACTTTTAAAAAATAAATTATTTATAACTTATAAAAAATATTTTTAATATATTTATTTCTCTAAAAAATACTTTTTAATCTGTATATCTATACAACTTATTATAAATCAAACTACTTCTTATAAATTATAAAGTATTTATAATAAGGCATTTTTAATCTATTAATCATAGTATAAATTTTATATTATTTCATTCTTTAAATATTAAAAATATTTTTTATATTTAAAGAATAAAATAGTATTTTTAATTATAAATTAGAGATAAATTTCATTTATAAATTTAAGCAGTCAAAAAGTATTTTTAATCCACAATAAATTGTACTATTTATAATTTATAAAAAGTAGTTTGATTTATAATAAGTTGTATAGATATATAGATTAAAAAAATTTTAAAAAAAATTAAAAAGTGTGTTGCCATTTTCCCTAAATTTTATTTATAAATTTGAACAATAAAAAAGTATTTTTAATATATAAAAAATTATACTTCAAGTTCTGATTATAAATTGGAGATAAAAATTATTTTTTTAGCAAATTAAATAGATTACAAGTACTTTTTATAAGTTATAAATAATTTATTTTCCAAAAGTATAAAATAATTAATTGTTATAAAAAAAAAGGTGCTGTTGAATTTTAATTCTAGACTTGTTATTTTATAATCAGAACTTGTTATTTCCAAATGTATTGTTGTTATCACCTGAAACAAAGTGTGTTGCTATAAAAAAACGTGTTGTTAAATTTTAATCCCAGACTTATTATCTTATAATCAGAACTTGTTATTTTTAAATGTATTGTTGTTATCACTTGAAACAAAGTGTGTTGTTAAATTTTAATCCCAAACTTGTTATTTTATAATCAGAACTTATTATTTTTAAATGTATTGTTGTTATTGCCTGCAACAAAATTTATTGTTATAAAAAAAACATATCGTTAAATTTTTATTAGACGTGTTATTTTACAATCAGAACTTGTTATTTCCAAA